GGCTGCCATAAAGTGTAATAGATTAAACATTTGAGTTAAACACAGTGGTTCATAATAACGAACACATGTACTACTTTGTGACGCTCGTGAAAACATTGTGCAGTATCAGTGGTTTGTTGGTTAGTGGTACAGTACAGTACCGTATGTAGTTACTATTATTACTATATAATTATGAACCGTATTATTCTTCTGACTTGCTTACTTTCCGACCACTTATCTTGTTCAAAGTCAGTGTTTGACCAGTAGAATCTGCATCACTAACAAAGCTTTTCATAACAGAAACCGTTATCAGTCTCTCTACTCCTTTGACAATATCGCCCCCATGCATCTACTTTAATATTAGTAGGCAATACAGAAAATAGGGTCCGACAGGAATTCAAAGGACACAGACGCTATTACAGAGCGCCCCCCGGTGGCCGTCCAGTCTAACCTGGTCCCCCTGCAGGGAATTCTATTCAGTGAAAAACAGACCTTGCCCTTGCAGTCATTTCACCTTCCCTAAGTCTCTAAGGTCTGGGCTGCCCTCGGGGCCCACAGTGCTTTGGCGGTGGTGGTGTTGGGGGGGCGGGACCTACCGTGCATCTGGCCGTTCATTGGATTCTGCATATGGGGGGTCGGGGGGCCTCCGCCAACCATACCGTCGTTGGGCATGCCGTGGCCGTGTGGGGGCGGCGGCTGCTGGGGCCCGCTCTGACTCATCCCTCCGGGACCCAAGGGCATGTTCTGTGCAGGGGGCTGCGGACAGAGGGCCGAAAAAGGGGATAGGAGACAGACATTTCAGAGGTTAGCGATGGAGACGCAAGCAGAGCGCACTCTAAAAGGGACAAGGGATAAACAGCAGGGACAAAAGGATGTGAGAATCCTTGAGGAGTGTGGAGCTACAGCCAAGAATTCAGGCGTACAGGTCAGGAAAAGCGAAAGCTGGACTAAGTCAGTCAGTCAGTCCCCTGAAGGCGGAAGCACAGGATCAACTAGACCCAGATGTGTTTGGTCATATAAGCTAAAACTCCAATTAAGACAAAGGATATTTCAACATTTCAGTTAAGGACTGAACCATAAACCAAAGTTGTACCTCGTAGTTTCAGTAAAAACGGCAGAATACTCAGTGTATTCTGATATCATGCTAAAGGAATTGACGTTGACGATATGCTTTGACATTAAACTTCCTGCGTCACATGACCTTGCAGGGTCAACAAGCATCTGACATCCTCAACTTTATGTATTATCCATGAGCTCAATGAACTAGAGGAGAGAACAGAGATTTGGATTTGGTCATTATTATTCCCTGGCTGAAGTTATGAAGATGAAGGTGGGATGACGATGATGATGATGATGATGATGATTACGATGATGATGCACAAGGATGATGTCGGATGCCATGATAGGACAAAAAGAATGGAAAATGGGCCGTGGAGAACATTGCCAAGCCAAGTTCAGCTGCCCATTGCGTGGGAAGTTCTCCCACAAACACCAAGTTGACGGTACATTTAGGACCAGAGAATCGAACAGTTTTTAACACAATCTTTACATGCATGAAGTACACAGACACATGGATGCGTTACTTTCTATTCCGGTTCCGTGACATTGTCACCACTAACACGCACACTTCTCTCCCCTCCCCTTTGTCCCTTCCCAAGTGAACTCCGTTTGTCCTCCATATCCACAAATACTCACTTCATGCTTTATCTCAGTGCTGGGGGGTTCAGACCTCTGAAATCAAGTACAGAAAATCTAGGTGAACATCTAACCTTCATCAGGAGGGGACAAAAAAGCATTTCTGGCTCTAAATCACATCCACATTCATTTTGTTTTTTTCAGCACAGTAGGTTCTTCAGATGACTGCTAATCGGCCACTCAGTGCGACAACCTGCTAGTGTGATCTAACAGGACTTACAGACCATCACTGCCCACACAACGGAGGCAGGACATGGAAGGAAGAGCTCACCGAGGCAGTGCGAGAGCCAAACGACGGGAAGACTCTTCGACCACAGACTCTGTGCACTCTTATGTCAGGGTGTCTGTGCACTTCACACAGGTCAAGACATGATGCCAGCATCCCGTCTAGAATTTATTTTTTGATTCCAGATATCTTTCAATTGATATTGGTATCCAGGAGTGTTTCGGAACCTCAGGATTAAGCAACATTTCCTGCCGATTCAAATGTCGCCCCCACAATTAAAACTAGGAATTCAAAGTTTTGCTTTTTTTATAGGAAACAGAAATGTTGACAAGATGCAGGTAACACGGGATTTGCAATTACTGTATAAACTTGAAGGACATTAATGCTACTGGAATATGTTGGATAAAATGTTAATGGACTTTTGACTTCATTCTGGAAATGCAAATGACACCAAATGTTTACAAAACAACCCATCTTGGTATTCCTGGATCAGTGCTGACTTCGGAAACCCAACAATGCAGCCTGCAAGGTTATCAAGCTTCACGGTCCATCTCAACAAGACCTTAAGAGCAGCTACTGCTAGCTAATTCGTATATACATTCTCATGTTTTATACACGAACATGCAAAAAGATTTTTCTTTTCAAATACTCACAGCAGGAAGCAGGGACTGCATGTTCTGATTAGAATCTGCTATTGTTGCCAAATAAACCAGATTTCTGTGAAGCATCTGTTGATACCTGTTCATAGCAAAAACAACAAAAACAAAAAAACAACATGAAAAGCAAAGACCAAAAACATATTACAGAGACCTACATATTTTAAAAATACATCCTGGCATAGAAACAACCATATTTAATATTAAGATATTATTGTTGACTTATCTGCAAAACGTTTGACAACATAGGTGTTTACACATTCTGCATAGAGATGGCAAATAACTAACTGCATGTCTTTGGACTGCAGGAAGAAACCCAAATCGCAACAGAGGGTGAACAAACTTCACATGCAGAGTGCGGACGGAATTCAAATTCCCAACCCGGGAGGTGTGAAGTGATAGTGACAAGCCAACATGTCATCCTGTCCATATATATATCAATTAAAATGGTGAAAAACAGTGGGGGTGGAAGGGGAAGGTACTTATTCGCAGCATGATAAGTGCAGCACTAGGACTGAGGATGTCAGCTCCCTGAAAGCACAGCACCCCTCGGGGTCAGACAGCCGGTGCCCGGGCACCAGCCAGGTGGAAAGGCGCAGTTTAAGGCCCAGGATCTTACTGTGAGCATTCTGCTGTCTTCCCTTTGCTCTGGAAGTCCATGATGCACTGAATAAGCTGATTGTTCTCATCTAGGAGCTGGAAGGAGAAACATCTTGTTCACATGCTGTTTATGCAAGAACACTGTAAAAGTACTCCTTGACCTCTTCAGGTTTTTAATATGATGCCTACCTTACTACCATTCACTGACAATACAATTACACTGAAAATACTTATAAAAAATATAGTTAGTAGTAATTCTGGGAAATACATATATAGAGAATACTTCTTATAGTGAAAATATTTCTTAGCTGAATGACAGCGTCAAGGATTAATCGTAAGGAATATTAGATAGAAAGCCTACTTTTATGTTAAAATCTGCATCCTATAATCTAAGGACAGCACTCTTGCACCAACCTCGATCAACCTAGGTCTTCTTTCCACAATTGGCTAATCCCAATAAACAAACGCAAGACGGAAAACACGAATGTCATATAAACAGAAAGCGACATACTCAAGCCATAGCTTTTTTTTTTTTTTTTTTACCGAATTCATACCAGCCTTTTCGTTTAAATGATATTTACGATGAGCACTTCAGACAGTTATCCCGCCCAAGCTAGGCTAGGCTAGGCTAAGCTAAGCTAAGCTAGGCTAGGTAACAAAGGCATGAACACCCAGAGACAGGCAGCTGCAGGCCATTTTAGCAGCCGAGCCTACGTCCTCCCAGAATTCAATTATCGCCGCCGGGACCGTCTGGCTGGCTTCGCTTTGCCGGTTGCCCGTACTGCCCTTTACGTATTCGCACTGCCCGCGCTTGGTCGCTGTATCCCCCCCCGCATCAGCACCCCGCCGCCCCGGCCTGACGGAAGGCTCTGCGCAATGCAAGCGGCTAACAGCTAGCCGCCAACGCTGCCCGACTTCACTCAAAAAAGAGGGAAGAATTACCTTCTGTATCCCCGCGGGTGTTATGTCGCCCTTTCCCCGCTGCCTATGAGCTGCAAATGCCACCGACATATTGATTATAAATTTTAAAAATTCCCTCCCCCCAAAAACAACAAACAAAAAAATCTCAAAAATAGAAAATACACAAGCAAAAGAGGAACACAGCTCAGCTCCAGCCTCACAGGGCAGAATGGGCTGCAGTAACGTAATGTACCATTCAGCGAGGGGGGGTTACTCAATTTCATAACGCACCAAGCCAAGGAAATGTGTCTAAATTGTGATCTGATATAACGAAAAATCAGTTTATTTATTGTTACTTAAAACAGAAATAGGGGCAATATCGGAAAAGGTGTATTGTAGTTGTTTTTCCCTTTACATATGTTTCTCAATCACTTGCTCCTAACCTTCAGATCGACAGTGGTATGTTCTAGGGCCACTGGGGTGCAGTAAAGTCTGGATGTGAGCCTGCGGCAGATAGCTTTCTAGATGATACTGAAATAAAATAAAATTAACTCTACCCGCTGATATTTGTTTAAAGTAAATGACTGTGACAGTATTAACGTTTCTAAGGGAGACTTATGACGCATTATTAAGGCATGTATTAAAAAAACAACTCAATTGTATCTGTTGTTGAACTCAGCGATGCATAAATATTCTGAAATTGCTGGCACTTAAAAAGAAGAGAGATCTGCGTTTCCGAACGCAGCTTCTTAAAAGTGAAACATTAACCTTTGGAAAGTGGAACACAACACAGATGAACATCGTTTAACTAACGTGCCACCGTGTGTTTTTCACTAAAAGTGAGAAATCAGTGAAACGAGACCCTCCCATGTATTCGCATTTAGTATCGCCCACAAGGGACGGAACAACACGCATGCGCGCAACATAACCACATGGGTCTAACTGTAGACGTCACAATTTATGATTATCAGGCAACATGACAGAGGTATTGCTTTTTTTTTCTCCGGACGGCTGTGAAGGTTTCACCACTGTGAGTGTGTAACTTAAGTTGCCAACGAGCTGCTGTGTTGTTGCAGTCAATGAAAGTTTATTTTCAGTGTCCTTTAGCAAAATACACCGCAAAACACAAGGCAAAGATAAACTAGTTGATTGCAGTTTACCGTGATTCTAATGGCTAATGTGATGACATACATAATGGTATCTATAGACGAAATGACACCCAACCGCTAGTTGTGGTAATTTACAAAAATACACGATTTATTTCCGCTGTTTGTATTACCAGTATTTTTTTACTTCACTTGCTGTTGAGAAAATTGTGTTAAATATGTCGAAAGTCAATTATTTAGTATATAAAAGTATACTGTACTACTTAATTAGTTGGAACTATACAGTGGTAGAACTTAAGAAGTTTTGCAAGTAATCCAAAACCACAACGTAGTCTTTGAGAAGTATATGCATGATTTTTCAACCGAGTTGGATAGCTTTTTTTTTAATATTAGATTTTTTTTAGGTTGGAATTCAAGGGGACATTGCTGTTCATGGTGTGGAGAAGAAATCTGTTGCAAAACTACAAGAGGAATAGACCACGCATAAGATTAGTGTGCTGGATAAGCATGTCTGTGTGACATTTGCAGGTAAGATTGAACAGCACTGGTCAAACAGCATTGGACGCAATGGATTCCCATATTCTCTTCATGAGCACAGAATTTGTTTTGCACATTTTTGAGGTGTTATGGAGACACTTCCATGTGTTTCCTTTTCTAGTAATCTTCAAATTGTCTGTTTTGTGCCAGATCCTGGAAATAAGGGGTATTTTAAGCAAAATGAGAAGCACTGAGGTTAATAATGTTGTTGTCTTTGTTTACATGTATGTGAAGAGCAATTAATCATAACCATGACCTCTGATATCCCTTATCAACATAAATCCTCTCTTTAAATTGTGTTTTCCAGCCTAGGGTGTCCCCAGCATCCTGAGATTGTCTCCAACACGTTATCACAGATAGCTGATTTCTTTTACCATTATTTGTATAACCCAGTTAGTAAAGGCCCGCCGCACCTCTCTCAGCCGTACAGACGACAGAGCGGTGTATTGTAAGTGTGGGTCTCAATTCCAGCTTGAAACTGGGGTAAAAGTGAAAAATCCAGCTCACAGCTTTTTTTCTTTTCCTTCAAATTTTCTTTCAGAGCCATTAGGCATCTCCACGTAGATTGTGGGGTTAGACTAAAATGGAACCTTCAGACTATGCCAGATGTGCCCTCCTGGAACATACCATGCATGAAAGGTAAGTGAACTATAGGTGTGAAACAGGTTTTTATTAATTCATTTATTGTGTTTTCACAGTCCCAGATTACTACAAATTGCTTATGTGATGGCCCACCACAACCAGTCAGATTATCAGTTTTGTCTATACAGTTAAGTTTTCCCCAAGATGTGTTTTTGCTGTCTTCACAAACAGGCAAACGCAATTGGTCGTAATGCAAAGACACTGAGAGAATTCCTGGAAAAGAATTACACAGATGCAGGTGACAATGACACGATTAAGCTCACAATCAGGGTGTTGCTTGAGGTAATGTCCCTTCCCTTTGTTGATAGCAGTAAAGTGAGACGCATTTCTTTGCCCACGGTAACATGACCTTTGTTTGCAGGGAGGAACGTTGAACTTACCGTCATCAGTAGGTGCCAGTCGCTGAAGGTGTTGCATTTGTGCTATATTTATCCAGTTCTGTCTCTTCTGATCTCATGTGTTTGTTAGTTTTTTTGCAGACATTGGAAGCTAAAGAAATTGAAACACTGGTTGCTGAGATAAAGTAAGGAAGAGGAGGCAGAAAAGAAACATGAAATACACATAGGTTTAAAAAAAATAATCTATGTGGTTCCAAGGGACCATCTAGGAAATGGGAGATGGACAAATGGCCCCCGTCAGACTGAAAGCACAAAATATATCTTCTCAGCGTTTATCATAAGCTATCAAGATTGGTCAGGTCATTGGTACATCAGTGTTTTCACATTTTAAACCATGCAAACATTTTGAACACTACGCAACGTATAAGTCAAGCACATTAATAAAGCCTGATGTTTTATATACCTCATTAATCACTAAACAGCATTGAGTTTTCACTTAATCTCAAGTTTATTAGGGTGCTTTTCTTCTACACCAGGTACCATACTTTTGGTACTTCAACCCAAACCCTAACCTACTGGTGTAAAAACTGGTACCAGCGTGGACAGCTGGATGATGTGTGACATTAATACAAGGTTATGCACATGTAATTCTTACATCAGTCAGCTATATTAAGATTGGGCCCTTTCTTACCTCATACTGTACAGACATTATAGCACAGGGGGTTTAGGTTTTGCTTTTTGCATATTTACCGAATTAAGAAAAGAAAAAACTTAGCAAGCTTTGCAATTTTAATGATTATTCCTTTTCAGTATTATCTCGTATATGTTTAAAAACATCGCTTTAAAGTTTACCACCGCTGCATTCTGCATGAGTGCTGTATGCATTCTCTGAGACAATCATTTTCATCCTTGCCGTTTATTAAATTAATTTGTGAGAAATTTATGAACTGTTTTGCTTTTAAATAAATAGCCCAGTGTTTATTACAACAAAATCACATTGCGATATTTGAAAAATCCCAATCTTGTTGTACCTGCATGTTCTTCAGACCAGATAGCAGTTTAGAAGCTTGGGTCTCTTCATTTGTCCACGCATCCATTATTATTACTTTTCTTTTTTTACTTTGTTTATCATTGTTTTCTGATTTCATAACTTTTTTCAAGACAGATGTTGTATTGTGTTTCGGAGGCAGGCTATTTGCATAAGCAGTCGACAAAGAAAATGTCCCACCCCAAAGTACCAAACTACCAAAAAAGTACCCCAGTTGGTTTGGAACTTTCGATACTGTCATTTTTGTTACTGGTACCAAATGGAAAAGGGAAAGTACCGTTAGTATAAACAGCCTACTCCTTCAAACAGTGAATCACATGGCTGCAACTGAAAATATACGGCTCACAGATAGAATCAAGAGGTTCACTTATTTTTCGGATGGCATTCGGGCGACTAAGACGCCTGATCTAAGCGATTTTGAACCTGGTGATCTCTGAACATTTCATCTGCACTTGAAGTAGTTCTGGAGACGTGGGTCTTGCCTAGCACTAGGCAGAAGTGCCTTTCCGTGTTGCTTTAGAAAATCTTAGGAAAATCTGATGGCCTCTATCTTAGCTCCTGGATAACTCAGTCTGACACTGGAGACTGAGAACCAGTCACAGGTTTTCCCAGGAAAAGTGATGGAAGATCGTCTTCTTCTGATCTGGTCTTTGTATACACATTTTTCACTTAAAACCTAAAATTCAAAGTTATTTTTTATATCTTGCTGACATAAATGTTATTACAAATCTGAAACTGAGATGTTGTTTTGATTTGGGTTTTCCTTAAGCTTTGTCCATCAGTTCCTTTCAATTTTTGTTCATACTTAAAGGTGGGCTTTGGTTGTGTGTGTAAAATGTTTATCTTTTTGGTCCAAACTGGCACTCTGTGCCAAAGTCACATTAACATGAAAGGAGGAAAAACCTTATTTCTGTCCAGTGAGCTGCTTTGCATTTCACTGTAATCCGAACCTGTTTAACATTCGATCGCAGTTCAAAACTCGACGGCAGGGTTGTAGCCAGGAGTGCTGATCTTTAAAGGGATCCAAGCTTTAAGCTAATTGGAAACATCAATGACTTTAATCTGGAAGCCTTTGAAAACTCACATTCTGGGCTGTGCCAGTGCCTACGGCCCTTTAGACTTGAAAAAGACATAATAGAGAATGTAAAGTGCTTCATTTAGGCTGTTGTCCCCGAGCCTGGCGATTGGAAGGGGATAACTTAGTCTCATGGCCAGGGAGAATTATTGTTATGTATTTTCTGAGGCTGTGCTTGATGATAACTGCTTCAATCTTCATCAAAAGAAAATGTTCTGACATAGGATGAGCTGATAACTTGTAGCGAAAATAGTTTTTTTGATTTTTTTGATGGGAAGATCAACAGAATACAGGTGTGCAAGGGAGAGATGTAAAGAAATGGACTGTTCCATTGTGGTATGTGTGAGAGGGGCTGCTTTCTTTTCAGGCCTGGTAGAAAAGAACACCACTATTGGCTGTAGCTCAGCCTTGTGTTTTAGAATCTTGGGTTGTAACACTGATGAATTTAAGGAGTTTGCATAGAATGAGGGCAATGCGGAATGTGTTTGTAATAGCAAAAAAATATTCTGTAGATATGATGTGAGGCTTGGTTACTCACTGTCATGCATGTTAAGGTGTGTATTTATAGCCTGCAGATAGATTTTCTTCCAGGACTTCCCCCCCAAAAAGTGAGAATTCCTCCTGGCATGAGACAGGGAGAAACCTATTAGCCACACGCGTCACAGAACGGTGCCCGCGGGCGCGAGCGGGTCGCTTGTTGCCAGATCCGGCCTGCTGCCGGGCAGCCCTAAGATATGGTTGCTCTGAAGCCTGGCAATTAGTGTGTAAAATGACGATTCTGCAGGAGGTCGTCTGGGTGGGAAAGCAGCCCTGCGGATCTGAGGTCTGCTCTCACGTCTGTGTGGAAGTTGTGGGTTATGGGCGGCGTCTTTGCATGTACGTACGCCCCAGGTCAAATGTGGAACTTCCTGTTTTACTGGAGTTATTACTGAAGTAACCAAATATTTGTTTTCACCTCATGTTTGCTTTTTATTCGATGAACATTTCTGGGCACCCAATTAGCGCAGAGTATTTCCTGTGTTTCACAAGGCGTAATAAAATCACCTTGTAGATAACTGCAGTTAGCAGGTGAAGCTTAATAGATTGGATGTTTCAGTCACGCTCTCGGGATCGTGGGTGTGCATCCCACTCCAGAGTTGTGTCGATCTTACATGTGGTCTCTCTGAGGGTCCTCTCTGGGCTTTCTGGTATCCTCCCTCTGAAGACATGAAAATCCGGGGAATTAATGGCCCTAATGCGCTGGACTGTTAAAAATCCTCCAAATTTCCACTGGCAGTAAATGAAAGGAAAATGTTCAAAATGCATCTTATGCAGCAAATTGCTAGTCAAATCATCTGAACTTCAGAGGTACAGACAATAGTGTGACTGCACCCCCCCCCCCCCCACATACCCACCCCCACTACACCCTGAAAAGGCAGATGGTCTGGATCTGAGTGTGTAGCAGTTGGCCTGAAGCCAAAGTCGCACCTTTTCAGAGTGATTTAACATGTTACCTACTGCATTATATCCTCACCCCCTCATCCTATTTCGAGTCTAAAAACAGATCAGTCCTATTCTAAGGTTTCACCCCAAGGATTAATTTTGCAGCCCCCCCCCCCCCCCCCCTTAGGTGTCCATATCGATCAACATGATAGACCCCCTCCAGTCTTTCAAAATCACAGCAAGGCAGGCTGCTGAGGACCGGGAGACAAGATACTTCAAATCGATACCCGAACGACCGGCTAACGAGTAGAGGCATCTTACGTCGTCATTTATTTTCAGAATGGCTTTGTCTTTTGGACCTTAAAAAGGGTTTGTCTCTTCAGTGTAGCGGGACATGACCATCATGGGTGTCTTGCAGTGACGATTTACACAGGTCTTATCTTCCACTTTTGTGGAAAAAAATAAATAGCATATTCTACGAAAAGTGAGGTTGCAGCTCCTCAGGTTTACCTCAGCTTTGTGTTTTTAAATCGGCAGTACAGATAAATACGGTTTCTTTCTCCTACATCAAAGAACCCCCCACACACACACACACACACCTAAAGTAATCTTCCGTCCATCACTGGCAAATCACATCATGTCACACGGAAACAAAATATGCATCTATGTTGAGGACATTTGTAGCTGTGTTTAAAAGTGAGTCTGTGTTGATGAATCCACAGCTGCCTTTCTCATCTTACTCTTAGCCTGCTGCCTGCTTGGGGACAGAGCTGATCTGCATTGACAGGGACGTGGCCGGCTGCCTGCGGCTTCGCCACCCTGCTTTCCACAGCGATTCGCTGCCAATCCCGCTTTCTTTCTCTTTCCGACCCCTGAGGGCCTGTAGACTAACCTGACATGGGTTAGCATTTTCAAAAATGGATCGTGGCATTCTTCACACCGCCGTTCAGTTGAAGACCCACCGCAGATGTGGCAGGTTTCTCCATAGCTTGTTTCTGCTTAGCGTTCGGCTACCTCAGCTCCTTCCCACCGTGTATAATCGATCGAAAAATTGGGGTTTTAGATTCCATTACAACACGCAAATAAAAAGAATGGTTGCATTAAAACTGGTGCATACCAGTGTAATGAAGAAGCAGCAACTTTTAAATAACCATGTTTAAATGGGTCTCCTCCTTGGCTCCCAGTGTGTGGACTTTGTATGTTCTCTCCATCTCATTGTAGGGTCCAAAACACAATAAGGTGAACTAGAGTTGCAAAATTGTCCATTGTTCTTGCAACATCGTTTTAGCTGTCAGTCTGCCACTGCTGGTATATTTTTGTTACCATTCTTTCAACATCGTGAAACATCACAGACATTTCCTATTAAATTGTCTCCAAGAGTCTCCAGCAGGTGGCAGTATTGAATAAAAGTATAACCCGTTTCAGGGGCTGCTCACACTTATTCTACATGAATAACATAGTATGTCTTAATAAGTGCTGTGTTACTCATGTTAAGTCTTTGCTTTAGGGTTTTGGCTTGAAGCAAAGGTCTTCGGCAGCCTCAGAAGGGACCGAACCACTCAGTTGTAAAAAGCAGTTTCAGCATCTCTCTTTCCATGACATCCCACATGCACACGTTGTTCCTCGTGTTTTTGTGATATCTACAATCACAAAATAAATATCTAATATCTAGAAGAGATTTGACTTAAGCACATCAGTGATTTTCATATGATTCTATTACCCTCAGCTCAGCATTCTGACTAGTTTTTGCCAAATTAGTAAATTGGGATGGGGAATTTTGTGGTTATGATAGGATATCATCCCATCATATCATATCATACCTAATATGAATAAGGTGATTTAAATCGAAACATAAACACAAAAATGTTTTTATGCAAATGGCTGGTCTGCAGTAACACAAAACAGCAATGTGGTCTCCTGAACGTAAAAGTCTGGAAACTGTAGACTACGTACAATTAGGTAAGGAAACCACTGGACACAGGAGGGCGTGTTACAAAAAACCCCAGAGCCAGTGTCCTCTCAAGACCCAGGAAGCAGTGGTGAGTCTTTCTCAACCGAAGCCATAACTGCTGCAGGATGATGTTACATGGAAATGTCAGAGGCAAACAAGAAGTAGCCATTGGTCCAAGAGATAATTCTTGCCCGCAGGCACTGCAATCTTTAAGTCCTGTGACTCCTGTTCACCACCACCTCCCCCCCCATCCTTGTGCTTTTTCTGTTTTCCCTCCACATTTTGTAATACTTGTTTTTAATTTAAAAGTGTTTATATTTAGAGAGGTTGTATTAATGAGCGTGTGTTGTAATCAAGCTGCTGTCCCTGGTTCTCCTTTGTAAATGCCAGATGTCTCCACTCAGGATCTAGAGTCAGACCATATTTATTGCTCAACCGTGTCGCTCTGCTCAGACTGATGACGTGCCGAGCCACTCAGACGTGAAGCATAATCACACCGGCACGGTGCCTTACCAACATTCCTCTGGTCGGATCGGAAAACTTCCAGGACCTGCAGTGCCTTTGGTCCGTCACTGACATTTTTTTTTACTCGTCTTTTCATCAGCAAATTTGCAAAGCCTGGGGAATTTAGTTCCTTCAGTTGCCACGGAGTTGATTTCCAGTTTCCATTATTCATGGTCAAAATCATTTTTTTTTTTTTTGTGGTTTAATTGTGTGTTTATAGTGTTTGTTTTTGCTTTCCTCCTCCCAATCCGGTTTCGTCCCAGGTGTGCACTGCCGCTCGCCTGCTCTTTGTAGAACATCCTCGTCAGCCTGTCCTGTGCCATGTTTGACCGCCTGGGCGCCAGGAAGCACGTGTGGGGGACGCCGCGACTAGCCTCCGGGGCTGATCTCATCTCTGAGGAAGAAGAAGTGACACACAGGCTGTTCTTTTGTCTATCCACTGCCACACACAAGCATGCCGGGCCGTGGCCTGTTTCGTGGGTTGAGACTATGTTTAGGATCTTTCCTGCAAGATACGGTTCATTTCTCTGGCTGCACCATTGTACTGCACACTTGGTCAGACCAAAATAATCAAGTACAGATGTTAATAACAGGAATCACCCATTTTTCTAAACAGATTAGGCTTGCCATCGCAAAGAGATTGCATCTTTTGATGGCTGAGGAGAAAGACGAAGAAAAATGCTTTGAAGCAGAGGATCAATGGCAATGCAGTCGCATGTAAATCCAGGAGATACGGAGCAATCCTGATAACGGGCCGGCCGCCGGGATGGAGCGCAAAATGGCCACGGGGCATCAAACTCGATGCGCGGAGGATCCGCATACATGCGGTATGTGAGTCAGGGCGTGGGTGGTGCAAAGTCTCGAGGCGCAGAGAGCAGTCCTGCTGAAAGCAGACACCCAGAGCTTTTCTCCTGCCCTGCTGCAGTGTCAGACTTAAATGCAGCCAGTCAGTCACAGCAAAAGAGTGGCATAAGGGCAGGGCTGAGAGATATCTAACTGGCATGCATCCATACTTCATGGAAATTCATAGTGTCGAGGGAATTAATTAAGTCTAAGCTTAAAATGGTTTATTTCTTTGCCTGTTACAGATGTCAGAGACACATCATGCTGCTGTGACTCGCAGTTGTTTTAGTTTGCTGTTATAAGAGATACAATAAAAATAATCCTGTACTTAGCACTGCAAAAGGGCGCGATGTTCCCCAAAGATGGGTGACTCAGTCTGTTTGAGGCTGTAGCTACAGGCTGCTGGGACTGAAGGGCAGATATTTGTAGCTGTTTAAGGACACCGTTCTATCCCTGGGTAGGTATGAGGTAAACAAGGGAGCTGAAACTGGGGGCTTTCATGAAATAACGGGGGGGTTGTTTCACAGAATTTCTCCTTGCCAGGGAACCAGGACCTCTGGAATCCTGGGGACCATATAGATGCACTGGATTTTCTCAATATTTCCAAAGTAGCCTTAGTCTAGTCATTTGTGCTTTGAAAAATCATGATTTGATCAAAAATCCTTGTTTATTTCACTTTACGCTATTCTTCAATCCGAAGACATACTTATTCTATTTGAGTACTACATTACTCAGCTTTCACATCAATAAACACAGGACATTCTAAAGTCCTCATCTTGGTTTCTTCCACCAGTCTTGAGTCCACAACTGTCTCCTTCTTGTCTAGCTTCTCTCATCATATGTTCTGAATCCAGTGGCGCTTTCCCACTGGCATACAGGAACAGAGCCTTACTGGAGCCGTACCATGAAGAGAGACTAGTTACAGTGCGATTCTGACTCGCTTCGGTTTTCCACTGCAGAGGGGTCGGCTCATTAAAGGCACTGTCGGGTTTGGAAAGCAAGAGTGACGTAAAACTGAAGAAACACTTATATACTGTACACATGGTATACATTGTGATTTATGTGTTATGTCTTTTTTTTTTTTTTTTTACTGTGTGCTAGAATTGCAGTTTTACGCAAGCATCAAATGCTAGTAGAATTAGCATTTGCTTGCGTAAATTTGCATTGAGTCCATTCCTTTCAGCTGTTCTATAGTACTTTTTTTAAGTAGGAGGTTGGATACTTTCACGTTCTGAGTTATCAGGAACGCATCATTACATTTTGGCGTGCAACTGTTTTTTTTCTTCCCAATAGATAATCCATGCATATGGACAAAGATCACTGGTATCTCCATGC